GGTCAATGATATGAGACAAAGTATATGTGAACTGCTGTATGAAAAGTGAATTTACTCTGTAAATCTTCACCCAAATCCTAATTAAAAAAAAAAAAAAAAGAAATATTCTTTGATGATTACCAGGGATCAGGGATGAAGACTTAGGACAATAGTCTCAAGGGACATCTAAGTCTACTGGCATAACTTAGTCCACAAAGGCATTCATTGTTTGACATAATACTTTGGTGAGCAGCAATTGGAGTTTTAAAAGCTTTTGAGCAACCATCTAAAATGGAACTAATAGTCTCTTCCTGTTTGAAGCATAGAAGAGTGAAGAAAATCAAAGACTCAAGGAAATAATCAGTCCAGAGGACCAGTGGACCATGCAAACCACAGCCTCTATTCCCCTATACCAGAAGAACTAGACAGCACTTGGCTAACACTACAAGTTCTTCTTATTAGGATCTAATAGAAGGTCCTGGACAGAGAGGGAGAAAAAAAAAAATTAGAAAAAAATTCAAAATCATAAAAAAGACCAGACTTACTTGTTTGATAGAAACTGATGGAACCCCTGAGACTGTGGCCCTTCGACGGTCTTCAAACCTAGAACTGAATGTACCCCCTGGGGATCAACTTTCAGCCAAACAATAAACAGGACTCTAAAGTGAATAATAATACCAGGGAAGAACCTATTTCTCAGTATAATCAATCATACAAGAACAGAAGGGCACCATTTGCCCCAAAGCAACACTCAGGGTGCAGAAGGGGCAGGAAAGAAGGATGAACGGAAACAGGAACACCTGAGGAGGAAGTGTGAAGAGGGCTGTTACACTGTGGGACTGAGGGGATTGCACCACTGTCAGGAAACAAAATGTACACAAATTGTTGCATGGAAAATTAATTTTCTCTGTAAACTTTCACCTAAACTACAATAAAAAGTTTAAAAAATAGTCATAATTTGTAACTGATGTTTATGACGTTTCTTCAGAAAGAAAACTCAATGGCTTTTTAAAAGTCAAGAATATACTTTTGAAAATGTTGCTCAAAATGATTGTTAGGGAATGATCCCCTGTGTGTGCAAAGGGTTATGTCAACTTCTGCTTTTAGAAAATAAGTTTTTTTAGAACTCTTCCTTTGTGAAGATTTCAGCAAATGATTCATCATCGTACTAGTCTGAGAAACTAAATGTGGTTTACAGATATGATCTTGTCTCCAGAAACAAGGGTCAGTGTGTGTGTATCTGACCATCTGAAAAACTGAGGGGCAGAATTATCAAAGAGAACTTACCATGTCAAGTCAACAGTATTACAGTTATTTTATTTTTAAAATTCATTTAAGAGTTTTGAGAACTTACCGCCCAGAAGAAACTGGCTTAACTGATCCAACATTTTCAAACAGCTGGGCTTTTGCTGCCACTCTGAAAAATCATTTTAAACAAGTAAGTTTCATTAAGTCAGTGAGGAAAATCATTCAGATCAAAGTGAAATTCAGAGTCATCAGCTAAACAAACAAACAAAAATCTCTTACTTAAAAACTGTCACCAAAATATGACCTGAATTTTAATTGTGTTAAGTTCTTTTGTGGAAGAGATTTTTAACTCTAGTTTCCAGTGCACAGGGTATCAGACTGTAATGAACTCACAGCTACTATCCCATAGGGAGCTTACTGTCCTCATCTTTCTACCTAAGAAAACTGCAGGAGTATTAAAAAGAACATTTTCTCCCTACTCCACTCCCTGCAGCATGTTATTGAGTCCTGTGCAGCCACAAGGGAAGATAATCAAAGAAACAAACACAAAATGACAAAGAAAAATTATCTTCACTCTCATAGCTAGAGTGAAGAAGAAACTATTGCTAAAATTATTTCATGCATTTTTATATGTGAACACAGTTCTTCTAAAATAAAAAAAATGAGGAACTCTGAAAACATGGCCAATAAGTGAATTCATGAATTAAAATCTTGTTTCAAATCATGGAGGAAAAAGGGCATGTTCTACTGGAAGAGGTATGACTATCAAGGATAAAGTAACAATTAAAACCAAGGTAACCTAGGTAAGTGGAAAAGTTTCCATATTTACTAAAAATTTCAAAATTCAATTTCGTTGAATGATGTTCTAACCTATACTTAAAAATATGTGTAATTTCTTTAACAGCTAAACTTTTCTTTCAAGTCAAGTCATTTGAAAATCTCCTAGATCATTTTACATCTAACATAGAAAATATGTGGAGCTCTGGTGGTGCAATGGTTAAATGCTTGGCTGCTAACCTAAAGGTTTGTGGTTCGAACTCTGCAGCCGAAAAAACTGGCAATCTGCTACTGTAAAAATTACAGCCTAGGAAACCCTATTGGGCTGTACTACTCTGTCTCATGGGGGTCTTTATGAGTCAAAAATAGACTGGACAGAACCTAACAAGAATAACATAGAACATATATTCTCTTGGTTTCGTTTCTACTTTAACTTTTAGTACATAATCGTATAACAGAAACCCTACTTTTCCAAACAAATGATGAGGTTTATATTGTTCAATCTCCCTTGATATAGTGGATCAAAATTTAATTTCCCTTAATGGCTAGAACTTCACACATGGGGGAGTAGATAGTATAAATATATTTGTCTATGCCACAATTGCTTGATTTCTAATGAAGAGAGATAATCTATGTTAAACACACCTGAAGCCAAAAAGTTCATGTAAAAGAAAATGATGAGTGAATAAATTAAAGACATTTTTCTTACAGAAACAGCCTTAATAAAATGTCTTACTGGACTTTTAATGAACAATTAAAATGTCAGGGTTATTACCATATTCAAAATGCATATGGGATAATAGGAAGTGCACAGAATTAAAGTCAGACAACTTTCAGTTGGAAACTCAAATGTTCCACTTATGGAGTATATGTGTACTGGTTAATTAAACTTTCTAAGTATCATCCATTTTCATTATCTCTAAAATGGGGTTCATATTACCTGTTGGGGAAGGACATTGTGGACATTAAAGAGATAACATATAAAGGCACCCTGACACAGTTCCTAATGAATTTAGGAACTGCTCAGCAAATGTAAGGAAAACATGACTGAAGGGAGAGAAACTTTCCTCTTTGGATTTTGCTTACTTGTTTTCCAGATTCCTATTTTCCTTTTCATTCCCTCTCCAATCAGCCCTTACTTCTGGGTTACTTCTTTTGAATAGAAGTACTTTCTTTTGTCTTTTACACCCTCATTCTCTATTTAAAAACAAAGCAAAACAAAAACTCATTGCCATCCAGTCTATTTGACTCATACTGACCCCTCCTTGGGTTTCCAAGGTGGTATCTCTAGGGAAGTAAATTGCCCAGTCTTCCTTCCAAGTAGTGGCTGGTGGTTTTGAAGTGCCAGCATTCTGATTAGCAGTCAAATGCCTTAGGCACTACACCACCAGCGCTCCCAAGCTTGCTTTCATGAGTGAGTACTCAGGTAGGAGAGACATGTGATAAGGAGGAGAGAAAAGCAACCCTCACAACCTGGAAAGCTGTTGCATTTTTAACAACTTGTAGCTGGTTAGGTGGGTAAAGAGAGATGAGAAGTAGGATCTGGTATTGCATGGTGGTGTTGTTAGCTGAAAGGTGGATGTTCAGCTTTTATAGGCATTCTCTCTGCTTCTTAGCTTCAATGCCTAAACTACTCTATTATACATTTACTATTATGTCCTTAAATTAAGCCATAACTCTGTTTCTAAGGAAAATGCTTGCATGGGATTGTTTATATATCTTAAATCTAATTTTCACATCATTTTTAGCAGAGGATAGAGCCCTACAGAAGTGGGCCTTACAGATAAGACATTCAGCTGAGGGACTACCAAAGCTCTTGTGAATACATCACACCCCTTTATTTCCTGGGAGACACAATCAATTACACTTTCATACTTACACTGAGCCAGGTCGCTGATAGCCATTGCTTGAGGTGTTGTCTAACCTTAACCTCCTGCACATTTTTGGAGGTAGGTCTGGGTTTGGTGGGGCTTTGGGGGTCTCTTTGGAACCTATGGAAGTTAAGCTTTGAATGGATCCACTGTAGCTCTTGTTTCCTAAAAAGAAAAAAAAAAAAAAAAAAGCCCAAGAAAATAGGCAAGGTGCTATTAGACAAAATAAAGGCAGTAACACAGTACATGTGCATAATAAAAGGAAGCATTTTTCTCCAAACCCAAATGGGAAGGTACAGAATGTTCTTTGAACACAGCAGCCCATCACTCAGGGAGTTCACAATCCACAATAATTACAAAGACACCACCTAACAGAGATGGAAAGATCTAGGTAAAAAGTCACAGTGCATAGGAGTTTTAGAAATCCAAGCTCGGGAACAAATCAGATAAACATCAACAGTTCCTTCACCATTTAACTCTTTTCCCGATTAATCATGCTGAATCATCAAGCCAGTGACACAGGGACAATAACACTTTGCACCAGGTCCATACTGGCTTACCTTCAGCTGCAGAGATGGATCTGAGGGAGGAAGCTGAGGTTCTCTTCAGTCCCGATAGCCCATAAGGTCCTTTCTTGACCAGGTCGATTGGTGGAGAAATGTCCCCTGGGCTGGTGACTGAGGCTACACTCTGGCTATCTGATTCTGCATCCGTTTTGGTTGCATCTTCTCTAGAACTCGATTCAGGACTAGTTGTCCAGAGACCAAGGCTTTTCTGTCCATTGGCAGGTGATGGGGATGCAATCCAAGGAATCCCACCAGATTTCTCCCTGGGCTGGCAGGAAGTAGACTTTGGAGTGCTGTTTTGTTCAGAAGAGTGAGAGGAGAGTGACTCGATGCTACCCATGGGTGTACTGTCAGGGCTGCTGCTATAGGAGTCACCTGAGGAGGAGCAGGAAAGGGAGAAAGAAGAGCAACAGTCGCCATTTGTTGATAACAACACCACCAAAATCTTCCATGTTCCAACTCTCCATGTCCTCTGTGGCCAACTGACCCACTGCATTGACAGGTCTTTATCTGGTATGGAGAATTGCCCTCAGTGTTAGAGAGAGGCTTTCAAATGTGCACCTGGACTTAGTAAATGCATTTTCTTTTTTTCTCAACACTAATCTAGGAAGAATTTTACATGTACCTTGCCCCTATTTAGTAACTTTACTTCTTGAAGCATTAGTGCACTGACTTGAATTCCAACCACTATTTACTTCTGAGATAGGACAAAGAAGTCAGAGAAAAACAATCTGGAGAAGGTTGTTGGAAAGTAGTTGCACAATTTGATGTCACTAAGTTGCACATGTAGAAACTGTTGAAATGGTATATGGCTGTATATATTTTCATGAAAAAAACAAAAAGGGAAAAAGAAAGGAATCCTCAGAAGACATACATACTGACTTATTTCTGCCTTTTACTTTTCTGATCTTACTTGTTTCTGAGTTAGATCTTACTTGTTTCTGAGTTATAATACACATGAACCCCCTTTTCATTCAAAGGTGCCATTAAATGGCAGTAGCAAATTAAAAGCGGCTCATGATTTTCAAAGAGAGCAGTTTTTCCTTGCCCTGCTGAAAACACAGCAAGTAAGAAACTGGCTAAATAACTGAGTTTAATTTTTAATATTGTTTAAGAAAAATTAGAGAGACTGAAATAATAAAGTGTGCTATGAAACATATCTAAGCTAAAACTATGTTTTTTTTTCAGCTTTTATTAAATATTTATTGTGGGAGGGAAAAATTGGGGATTTGTAGGGCTTCCAATGAGAATGGGCAGTTTATCATGTCTTGGACTCAGGCTACCACCCATTATCACCTTGGAGCTTGGCTCAGAATAGCAAGTTAGTAATAATATGTGGTGTAACTTTTCTTTTTACTTCTTTCCTTTAAAACCCAAGAGATGCTGCGTTAAGAACACAATGTGAAAGGAAGCAAGAAAATGACTGCTTCAGCTAGACCTTCTCTTGCTTTCTTCTCTGTCACTTCGACAACAGGACAAAACCTACTACAAAGTAGCACTCAATGTACTTAATCACAGTCACAGAAAAAAGAGCACTGAAAAAACTATTTTTCTTCCTTTGTAGTAATAATGAATTTGCTTGCTCAAGGAACCTTACAACTATACTGACAAAGAATATATAAATGTTAGGGGAGGGGTTGTTGGGTAGAGAGGATCAGTGAGAACATTTTCTATTTCTACTTAATTACCAATAAGGTGAGGTAAGGCTGAATTAAAGAAGGAAGAAAGCATCTCTCTAAGGCCAAGGCACACTTACTATCTGGTTCAGCCAAGCATGGAGTGTACCTCCCTCTGGGCTTTCGAGACCCTGTAGAGAGGCAGATTGCACGTGTCCTCCGGGATCCAGATCGCGACTGAGGCTGAGGAAGGGGAATGCTTGGGTCTGGAGCAGTATGAAAAATCTACAAAGAAAAAAAAAAAATGGATGAGGTCCATAAAAGGGTGAAGTTGCCATCACCATCCGAAATCATACTTTAAATGTTGTAAATAATCTTTAAAACAGATGCTACTTAATCTGCTGCACAACAAGAGAGGCTTGGCATAGAAAAATAAATGTTGTTGTTATGTGCTGTCGAGTTGGACTCAACTCATAGCGATTCCTCCTTGGGTTTCCGAGGCAGTAACACTCCGGAAGTGGATTGCCCAACCTTCCCTCTGGGAGTGGCTGGTGGGTTTGAACCGCCAGCCTTCTGGTTAGCAGTCAAGTGCCTTAGCACTATGCTACGAGAGCGCCCAGAAAAACCTAGAGCAATTATAACTTTCTTTTCCATTTACAGTGAATATTAGTTCTTCTCTGAGTTTTATTTTTTTTCTTTCTAATTCTCCTATCCCACCTTCAACAGTGAAATTCAAAAGATTTTCAAGTAATTTTAAGGAAACCTTTCAAATATGAACAAATATCCAAGTCAAAACACATTTTTTTTTTTTTTTTTTATTGTAATGCTCTCTTTGGCCCTTCATGCTCTGAGGAACACAACCTGTGGGGAAGAGGCTCATTTTGTATCACTTCCCCAGAGAAGGTGCTGTCATGTTCTTGACTCTGAGCTGTCAAAGAATGTGATGAGCTCCTGAGAGAGGTTTAAGCACAGCTACGGTGTGCAGCCATGTGCTCTTAGATTGTAAGAGGGCTCATAACCTTCAAGAGACATTAAGAACATTCTTCTGCAGATACTAGGGATAGAACTGGGAGAGGAGAGGAGAAGAGTCAACCTCTCAAAGGGACTATATAAAACATAAATGAATCACAAATGGTCAGATCCTAAATGGCCTCATTCACTTAATAATTCAGTCATTCTACCTCTCACAATTTCCCATTTCCATAGTTATTCCTTAGTCTTTTAAAGAAACTTTTGGTAGGGAATGGATATAGATGGCCTCAAGATTCCATTTACTGTTTTTATTTTTATTTTATTGAGAATGCCACCTCTACTATACAATTAAAAGTCTAATCTTGGAGGCATAAAAAGAGAAGGCTAAAATAGATTTAGCCACAAAATGATGCTAAAGCCTTCTGTAAATGTAGGTAGTAAAGTAACTGCATAAATGACAAAGAAGAACTTTTTGAAATATAAATGATGTAGAAAGAAAGGAAACTATCTACCTGGAGGATTTTGTGATACATTTAAAAATTAAACAAGAAAAAAGAAAATTAAAGTTCTCATGGAGAAGTAATTTATACAAAACTTAAAAGACTAACATTAAATAGGAATCTGCTATCACAGAGCAAAAGCTCATAGACAACACAAATGCAAAATTCTTATTCAAAAGTAACCTTTAAAATTCGACACTTTCCCATGAAAATCCAGCCTACCTTTTCATAGTGTTCAATCAGGATTTCAACCACTATATTCTGAAATTTAATATTCATCATGGCAGCCACAGTTTCTTCCTGTGCTCTCATTAGAGTTGGGCCAAATATGACACCAAGATTTGAGACAGTCATAAGATTTTGTTGGCTATGTAGTGATACTCTGCAAATAAACAGCAATAATAGTATCTTAACTTTATTAATGTTTAACAATGATAAAATATTCTCTTTTATCAAATTTGTGATAACAAAAATGTAAAATATGCCAATATAGGCTAATTTTCCAAATGAGTCCGTTTGTGCCACCCCATTAGCATTAGCGGATATGGCCTAAAAATACGTAAAACGTTATTAACATAAGTAAAACATAATGACAAAATTTAACCTAATTGAGTGAAAATTCTTGATTTCCTAAATCAAGTACAATTACCCTAAAAAGAATTATCAGTGCTTGGTATTTTCTATGGTATATACTTCTATTAGAACAAATGGCTGAGTAGACTGGTTGCATTTTCATTCAGATTCACTAAACATTATTGAGCATCTACTCTCAGGCATTTTCATAGATAGTATTGCATTTAACCCTCTCAGTAAATCAGTTATTCTTATCTTATAGATGAAAGCTAGAAGTTTGAGGTCACAGCAACTTTGGGTCAGGGATACTACTTCAATCGGGTCTGATAGCTAGTCAAGGGTTTCCTCAAACTCCCACGTATACTGGTGGTCAACACAAGCATCTATCCATCCATCCACCCACTCATCCATCCATCCATCGATCTATTCATTCATTCAGTCATCCAAAATTTCCCTGAGTGCCTCCCTTGTTCCAGCACTGTGCTTGGCAACACAGTAAGACAAGTGGATATGTTGGTATCATTGCTGGATTGAAAATGAAAAGACTTTGTCATTACTGACCTAAGCAGAGTAATTCTAGTAACTATTAAGAAAATTTTGGCCTACATAATTAATTTATTCTGGAAATTAGAGCATTCTTAGAAGGAAACCCTATTCATTTGACCAACCTCCTAGTTTTAAACACTGCTTTTATATCTTAGTCCTAGCAGAATCATACACTAAATAGAATCAGATTGTTAGAATGTGAATTTTTAGGAAATAGCATAACACAAGATGATGTATATATTTGACGAAGTATGTATCAATAAGGACAGTCCAAACCAACATGTAGAAAAATCCCTCAAAATGTGATTTAATTTTTTTTAAAAGAATAACACTTTTAAATAATTAAAATTAAGTCAGAGAAAAGACTATAGATGGTCTTTGTTTAAAAGGCAAAGAAAAGGTTTCTCTTTGAGGAAGAAAGAGGAAACAATGAGCATATCTCAGAACTAATTAATGCAAATTTGGAATTAGTCCTCTAGTTTTTGTAATCCCAATGCTGGTCACGGATCTTAAATTCCCTTTTCTTCAACGATGGTCACCAGAGATCAACAGTGACGACAGTAGTTCTCAAAAGCAGATCATTGGTGATGTGGGAACACATTTCACAGCCACTGCTCTGTCAGTGGAGCTTGACCTTTTGAAGGTTCAAGGAAGTAGCCAGCATTAGTGGAGGAGGATGGGCAAAAGAATTTCAAGCCTTCTTTAGTGGTCAGATACTCTTCCTTGACATTCCTACACACATTCTCATTAAGCTGAAGCTTGTCTTCATCTAACACTGGACATTTAAGCAAGAGAGTTTTATGTGATATTTATATGCCACTTAAAGAGGTTTCCCTAGAAAATTACCTGGAAGACCAGCAAGATAATGCTTAATAAATACAGTGTTGTTAAATGTCTTGAAGAGTTTACACAATTCAAAAACTTATAATTCAAGTCTAATCCAGACCAAGGTGGGTGAATCATTAGCTGACAAGCTAATGCCATGGATCAAAAATTAACAATGCACTTGAAATTATGCCATTTCTAGTGGGTTTCCTTTTTAATTCATGGGAGGAGGGGTTCATATTATCTTGACATTTGCAAGTAAGATGAAATTTATTAATATGTTTATGTAGCACTATTTCAAAAATGTATGGCTCAAATTAGCATAAATTGGGCCATTATGTGTAGCAAAGAAAGAAGGATTGATTTCATTTGATTGTGAATCATGGCATCATTAAAATGAAAAATGTCCTTAATAGTAAATGAGATTATAAGGAAACTCTTTAACTTTAAAACCTGAATTTGGACTTCTATTTTTAGCAATATGGCAAACAAACTTCTGGATTAAATACGTGTATGTGTGCACATGCACACACATCTAGACATATGTATATATCTGTCTGTTTCAATTTCTCCACTGATAAACAGAGTAAAAGGCAGGCAGACAGACTAACCCTTCCTTCCTGTCTGTGTATATCTTTCTCTATCTATCTATGGGAAGACAGAGCAGGAAAGTCAGAAAAATCTTCAGAGACCAAAAGAAACTATGAATTCAGATAAGAAAGTAATGTTACACTGGTAGTTTGACCTGAGAGAATCTGGTGACCCTTAAAATATAAAGCACTGCTTGCCAAATTGGTTACAATGTACCTATAAGAATTTGGAAAATACCATGTGCTCCTTCATACATTCTGAAGTTAGCATCTAAGTTTAAAAGCTAAAAAGGATATAATTATTTGCCTATCATAAACATATATAGGTACACACACAGACACACATACATATAGACATATCTTTAAAAATGAATTATACCACTATGTCATTTTTTAAGCATATTCAATAAACTCTAATTGCAATAACCAAACAAAACCAAGTCCACTGCCATAGAGTCAAATGTGACTTATAGTGAACCTGTAGGATAAAGCAGAACTGCCCCATAGGGTTTCCAAGGCTAAAATTCTTTATGGAAGCAGACTGCTTCATCTTTCTCCCATGGAGTGGCTGGTGGGTTCAAATCACTGACTTTTTGGTTAGCAGCCCAATGCTTTAACTACTGTGCCATCAGAGTTCCTTCTAATTGCAACAGCAATGTTACAACACCATCATATATTTTGAAAAGATTTCAGCAAGCTTAATCTTAACAGTTGAACAAGTGATTAAATGAACAATATAGAGAATTACTTGACCAAGTGCTTTATTAAGATGTCCAGCATCTCTCGGTTTTTCTCTGGTAATTTGTGCACCAAGGCATGTACAGCTTCTACCCGGTAGTTTTGGTCATCAGATTCTGCAACATAAAAAAGGTTACAAATGCCTTAATTTCATTCACATGTATATATCTACACATTAGTAATCTAAGCAACAGGACCACTCCCATCACCAGTGCCTGATAAGCAGTGTTTCAAGTCACAGGCGTTGTGACTATCATTCACTAAGGCCTGAGTACCTTGCCCATGGTTAATCCAGATCTGTTCTCTTAATCACTGAACATAGAACTAAACTCATACCTGCTTGATAAGTACACAATCAAAGTGCTAGAAATGTGAGTGACTGCAGCAACTATTACTGAGTGCCCAATGCACCAGATAGGAGCTCTGGTAGCATAGTGGCTAAGACACTTGTCTGCTAACCAGACGGCTGGCGGTTCAAACCCACCAGCCACTCCTAGGAAGGAAGGTTGGGCAATCTTACTTCCGTTGTGATACTGCCTCGGAAACCCAAGGAGGGGTCGCTATGAGTCAGGTTTGACTTGACGGCGCATAACAACAACAAATGCACTAGGTACTGTAATACACATGTTGTTGTTATGTGCCATCGAGTTGGACTCGACTCATAGCGACCCCTCCTTGGGTTTCTGAGGCAGTATCACTACTGAAGTAGATTGCCCAACCTTCCTTCTGAGGAGTGGCTGGTGGGTTTGAACCACTGACCTTCTGGTTAGCAGTGAAATGCCTTAGGCACTGTGCTACCAGAGCTCCCTATAATATACATAATCTCACTGAATTCTTCTGGTCACCCTATGAAGCAAGCATGCATCTCCTTATTGAACACATTCAAAGACAAGAAGTGACTTTTCTGAGGTGTTAGCACTATTATGCAAACATCAGCTCAACAGATTTTTAAGCCCACAGCTGGCTTTGAGGGTCTGAGAAGGGGAAATCTAAATAGTGAGAAATCATCTAAAGCATGCCTGCTAGTCTGATATGCAAAAAGCCAAGACACTGACATGTCTGCTAGAGAAACTTTCATCATTCAAAACAAATAATTTAACATTCATTACATTTGACAAACTCTGTTAAGTTCTTTTTCTCAAAAGTACTCCAAACTTTAATATGTACATTATTTAATATTTATCTTTTCCAGGTACAATTATTTGGATATGGGGGAAGTAAATCTTGATTTAGACTGGGCCAAACACAAGGACTCCCAAGATTTAGAATGGAGACACCAAAACTCTTTATCTGTCTGCTGGATACTGAAAAGGCAAATCATGTAAAATCAGGGATGGTGTAACCAAATATGCTAAAGCTGAGAAAATCTGGAAAGACAGATAAGAATGAGGCAGATGCAAAGAAAAGAAAAGTGATGAGAGACGCTCCAAAATGAGAAGGGAGAGATATGTCAGTCCCAACTTTTTGGTTCCTGGTGGCGGCCCGTGAAAAGCCAGACTCATCTACTGCCAAGAAATTCTCTGAGACATCTCTGAGTCTTTGAATAACTTCTCATTTTTACTGAGCTGGATTTAGGCACCTTGAAACCAAAAATAACTAATTAATAAACATTTAGAAAATGGGACCCATCTTTGACAAAAGACCAAATTGTTACACATAACAAGATAATAATTTTAAGTATCATGGTAGTAAATAACATAATTATTTGCCAGAGAAATAAATGGAGATAAAACCTTTGGCTACATACTACTTAAAAAAAAAACCTCATTGCCATCGAGTTGGATCCGACTCATGCCACCCCTCCTTGGGTTTCCAAGGCAGTATCAAAACAACCAGTTTATTGAGCGATTACAGCTAAGTGACTCAAATGCCATTTGTTATAAAACAAAATTTCTGTAAGAAAGGATTCTGGATTAAGAATCCAAATATCTGGTTTATAGCATTGGTATTACCATGAATTGCCTGTGGCCAAGTCAAGGTGCTCTGGTGGTACAGTGGTTAAAGCACTTGGCTGTGAACTAAAAGGTCGGTGGTTTGAACCCACTAGCCACTCTATGGGAGAAATAGATAGCAGTCTGCTTCTGTAAAGATTTACAGCCTTGGAAACCCTTTGGGTGTTTCTGCTCTATCATATAGGATCGCTATGGGTTGGAATTGACTTGATGACAGTGGGTTTTTTGTTTGGACAAGTCACTTGCCTATTCTAGGTCCTGATTTCCTAGTTGACAAAATGAGAGGTCAGATTGCATATTTTGTAAGGTCCTGTCCATTTTACAAAGACAGATTTCTTTGAACAGAATGAATAGAAGTATAGTATACGGCTTTAAGGAGGAAGAGCATGTGGTTAGTCATGTATACCAGATTGTAAACCAAGGTCATTCAACTTTATCTGACACTTTATCAACCAACATTTCCTGTGACACTACAATGTGTAGCAATAAACTAATACAATGGATTTCTTTCATGGATTATGGAAAACACTCTTATACTCAAAGCTCATACATGTTAACAATGAAATGCCAACTCCTAATTATTACGAGCCACTGTGATGGGCTCAGATGATGATCTGGCACTTTAGTCTCAGTGGTTTAGAGTGTGTATTTCTAAATTCTCATGTTACATGTTTATTACTGTTTCTACCTCCTAATTTTTAAACTAAATCCAACTAGTTGTATCACATTATGGTAGTTACAGATTTAAAGAAATGACATAAATATGTTACCATCAAAATAAATATGAGTATGGGGAAAAGAGATTGATGAAGCTGTCTCTTGTTTACCAAAATTTGCTGACACTTCACTCCAGACTTATGAACATAGCATGCGAGCATCTAGATGTTCATGGCCTAAGTGACCATACATATTTGAAGTCTTATCTATTTAATCCTAGGATTGTTCTTGTAAGAAAGTTCTACTTGTCAATCAAATAAAATGCTATTAGAATAACTCCTTGACTCTTTCTAATCATATTAGACTCATACCAATGTTGTAAAAATTGTGTTTTCCAGATCACGGTGCCAAAATATACATATACATTAAAGCAAAAGATGCCTGTAATAACTGAAGCATATGACTGATGAGAAAATTCATTTCCACAATACAGAAAGTACTTACAAGGTCTTGTTAAGTGATTTTTACTTTATTTTGTGATTTGTTATGTATTATTTAGATATTTATAAACCATATTGCTTGGGATTACCAGATTGATAATTCCTTAAGCAGTTTTAGAAAAAAAAAACTGGTTTAAAGTTATCTGTCTAAGTAATATAGCATAAAACTACAATTACAGTGCTTTCAAGGAAAATGTACTTACTAACAGCAACAATAAAATCTTTGTGCAACTTGTAAGTCATCAGTGGTTCAGCAAGGCACCTGGAACAGAGGAAGGAAGCACATTTTAAAATGGCAATATCTCTTATTCCTGAAACACTCAGGACTTCTTTTTTTTTATTACTTTTTTTTTTCAAATTGTGATTTGGGTGAAAATTTACAGAGCAAATTCACTTTCCATACAGCAGTTCATATACACTTTGTTTCATGACATTGATCACAATTTATCGCAATGCAACAGCTCCCCTCCCACTTCCTCCTGATAGTTACCTCTTCCCTGTGTCCATCCCTCCATGTACTTCTGCCCCCTGAGCTGTCTCCCTGTGCATAAGCAGCCCTTCTTTCTCCCATGATTGTTCTCTCCAAGGAACACTCAGGGCTTCTATAAGAGTTGGGTGATTATTGCAGGTACTATGATAATGTTGTGGCATAGTGCCTAAGGCATCGGACTGCTAACCAGAAGGCTGGCAGTTCAAACTCACCAGCCACTCCTCGGAAGGAAAGTTGGGTAATCTATTTCTGTAGTGATATCACCTCAGAAACCGAAGGAGGGGTCTCTATGAGTCTGTTCCAACTTGACAGCAGTAAGTTTGGTTTTTGAGTGATGATAAAGTCCCAGTTAGGAGGCTCCAGGTAGGCCTAAACTTCTAATGTCCAATGTCCATTAGCACTTCTTGTCACAAATATATTAAAAAGGAAGAGTCAGAGACTCTTTTTTCTTTGTGAAAACTACTGCATGACAGGAATAAGCACTTTTCAGTTGTGAGGGTAAAAATGTAACAAACAAACTAAAAGACTCAAAATTCAACTTGTTATTTTAAACAAATACATGAAAATCATGCAGGGGGAGACAGCTCGGGGGGCAAGAGTGCATGGGAAGGAAGGACACAGGGAAGAGGCAACTATGGGCAGGAAGTGGGAAGAGAGCTGTTGCATTATGGGAAATTGCAGTCAATGTCCCGAGACAAAGTGTGTGTAAACTGCTGTATAGAAAATGAATTTGCTCTGTAAACTTTCATCCAAATCACAATAAAAAATAAAAATAAAGAAATACATAAAAATTATAGAAAGATAATAGCATGAAACAAAAGATATAATTTAGTATTCACAAAATATAGGAGACTTTTCAGGTCCTTGTTAGAAACACAAACTACAAATTAGAGAGCACTCACTAAACACAAATGCTATTTCACTGCAAGTAACCAAATTGAGCTAAAGAGTGAAGCTTGTGCCCACAGACCTCATGATATCATCTGGTAACTGTCCAAGGAGGAGAGTGAAAACTCACATCCAGAGTACCAGGTGTTAAATCCTCCTTACCTGAGGTAGTTTTTCAGCCCACTTGTTATTGTCTTATTGTCCCATAGTTCAATATCAATATCAATATCAGGAGGGGATTTTGGAGCTGAAAAGAAAAAAAAAATGAGTTTAAAATGTGAAATATCAAATGTCACTTACATCTTTAGCAAGATAGATGCAAATAAATGTAGGTTAAAAGAGAAAGGCAGTTATCTCTTAGTATACCAATAGAGCTAACTTTAGGATTGTTGTTTGTGTGAGTTGGTATGAAGCTCATTGACACTGTACATAAAAGAGATCTTGAGAATTAATGGCCTACCAAATCAAATTGTTGCTGATTTTTAACTTATATCAGGTATGCTTCTAAGTCATTTATATGGACTGACACATCCAATCCTCAGTATTCTTATTAAAATATCTGGTACTGTTAACCTCATTTTAAAAATGAGACTGAGACAAAAAGGACTCAGCAAATTACCTAATGTCACAGTGCTTTTCAGTGGTCAACTTGGGATTCAAAGTCATCCAATATGACGCCAGCATCCATGCTCTTATTACACTATACTATATTTTGTTCTTATTACACTATACTAAAATTTTACCTGGACATCTGAGCCAAAATGTGACATTAAAAAAAATGACCATCTCAAATTCCAACTGTTCATCTGTAGAAACATTAAACATGGAATACAAATAAACATTAATTATAAATATTACTTGGAAATATTCAAGGAAAAGAATGGTCTGTACTTCAAAGAAATCTATGGTTTAGATCATCTGTAAGAATAAAAAGATTAGTTAAGTAAGCTGATTCATTTAAAACTTACAAAATGTGGTATTCATGAGTTTCTGAACTTTGGAGTTCACACCTCCTATTCGGTAGAGGCCTAAAATGGTGATGCCTAACGAGAAGGAAAATCACAAGAAAATGACTTGAGACACAGCTTCCCCAGTACAGAATGTTAAAAACTCAGACTTATGCATATACAGAATTTGAAAGCTACTTATCCAATTTTGCAGTTTAACTTTAGCAAACTTACCTTGGGAATACCCATCAGACATATGTTCCTCAGATTAGACACTGAACAGTGATTTGAAAGTCTTTGAAGATCTTCAAAGCAGCAAAGTATACCTGCCTATTTTCATTTATTTGAATATAAAAAAGCATCAGAGTTGAGGAGAAATGCTCAATTGTCTTCATTTTGTAGTTGTTCAGGGTCACGGAGTCCTGCATACTGAAGCAGGTCCTCTGAGGAGCTACTGTTCTGTTCAGGGCTTATAAAGGTGTCTGGCTGGATCTCACCAGTTCTGTCAGTCTCCAAAGCCAAGTCCCTAACCTCAGTAAGAAATTGCTTCCTTATGAATACCATGACTGAGTACCAAGTACTGGTCAGATACTGGGCTCTGCTTTAACTAAACTATCTCATTTAATCCTTAAAACAGTTTTATTTTTATTTATTTATTTACTTTTATTTTTGTTTTGCATGTGAGGAAATATAATCAGGGGATTTAAGGAATTGCCTAACTTCTCAAAATTTCTAAATGGTAGCACCAAGGTTAAAGATGAGTACTCCAACACCAAATACAAGTTTCCTTTAGATATGTTTCTCTGGAAGTGAAAGAACCTAGCGGGCAACTGGGATGGGCTTTAGGAGAAAGGTCATGACTAGAGTGAGGGAAGGTACAGAAATTGTGGGAAGGGCGTAGGACAAACTCTTTAAGAATCTTATCTCCCTGATGCTTGAAATAAATTATATAATAAATAATAGACATCTAACAATAAGAAGTAAAGTGAGGTTATTTGAGGAAAAATAATGGAAAAATAGGAAGTATGAATGCAGTGTTTTTTGGCAAATTGAAGTTCCAAGTACAGCTTTTATGTATTTATATAATTCTTAAAATTAATCTCTCATATTAATGGCTAAACACATACTCATTCTATAAATATAGAGCATAACACTGTAGTTAAAATAAAGTAACTGTATCAGACAACACTAACCTCTTGTTTCCACAGCTTGAATGCATTTTCTCACAAAGTTGAACCCTGCTTCATTTAAGTACACTGAAAATAAAGGAAAACCACCTAAGTGTTTATGCTGATGATACATTTCCCCATCTGTTATCTCTGTTGTATCGTCATTTAACAGAAGAGTGATTCTTCCTGAATTTATCAAAGACTTTTGCTAGAGTATGAATTTTTATTTTGGTCTAGAAGTAGGGGGTGGGGTGGGCAGTTACACTCACCAAAGTTATAGCATCAATCTGCTTACTTAAGAGCACAGCTCTATCATAGAAGGTAAATATGTTACAAAGATCCCATCCATTCTCCTAACATTAGCATTATCCTCCAACTTCATGTTTTTCCAGATAACAGAAGCAAATACAATAATAATAAACTCTTAGTCTGTGTTGACTGTTACATTAGGAAGCCATTCACAGGTTCTTTCCCATGGGATTCTTAACATAACACTATGAGGTCAATAGAAACTTTACAATCTAAAATGATTGACTGGTTGCTGAATTCACCATGCTCTGCTCTAAGGCCTAGACTCAGGATTCTAATTTAGGTCTCCTGACTCTATGACCAATGTTCTTTCTACTGCATTTTGCAATCATATTCAAAATAATTCAAAACATGCTTAGTTAGTCCAGTAAAATCCATAAAATATTTAAAATTATGAAATAGATTTATTTTATTTTTTTGTAACTACACTTTCTTTAAATATGTTCTAATTTTCTTAAGGCTTTAGGGTCAGATCAAATTAGATTACTTTTTTAAAGAGAAAACCTTTCATTTAAAAGTACCACACAACACTCAGAGGAAAAACTCATTTTTTTAAATATTATGATAGATGTTTTAAACATTTTAAAATTTTCAACACATGTGGTAGAAATATATTTTTAATGTTCTAAATAGTAATAAAGGAAGAAATTCAAACAACAAAAAAGATTAAAACTGGTATCCATTTAAAGATGGTAGATTAAACACATTCATAGAATTCAACACAGACTCAAAGACAACAACATAAATTAATTTAAAAAAAAAATGGCTGAAAAATAAAGAGATGTGCCAGCAACATACTGAAAACTGAAGAAATCCTAGACATAGAAAACCATAGAAGCAATTGATTAAGAGAAAGGTCTAAGAAATCTATGGCCCAAAAAACTAGAGGTACTAACTTGGAAGGGTTTTTGTTATGTTTTCTTAGTTGAAAAAAGTCATCTACAGGATAATATGTCCCACTTTCTTAAGGGTAAAAATGTGAGGATATTCATGTTTCTACCTGCCTAGAAAAACTGTAAGATCTGTTTGGACTGTTGATAAGGAAGACAGGGCAAGAGGAAAACAATCATTTTTATTCATTAGATTTTGGAATTGTTTTATATTTAAATAACTAAATATTCAGTACTTTTGAAATTAAAAACAAATAGATTTAAATATATCAAAATGTCAAAAGTAAAACATGTATTTCCACCAACAGGAACTGGTTTATTTATTTCTGTGTTCCAAGTGCCCTAGGTCAAGTGAACAGAACTCAGTGAATGTTTTGGGTGATCTCAATGTACAAGAATAAAAAAATCATTAAATTTGCTTTTATGAAACACTAACCAGTCTTAGGATAAATCAAGTTTTATAAAAAAAGAAAAGAAAACAGTGGTCATCAAGAATAAACTAGTTTTGCAGCTGAGTCGATTCCTCCTGAAGGCGGCCCCAAAAGTACATAGCAGAATTGCTCCATAGTGTTTTCAAGGCTGTGACCTTTCACAAGGAGATCACCAGACCTATCTTCCAAGGCATCCCTGGGTGGGTCTGAACCACTAACTTTCTGACTGGTAGTTGAGCACTTAACTTTTTGTGCCATCCAGGGACTTCCAAACTAATCTTGTCAGAGAATAAAATAGTGGAGATCAAGAAGTGAATACCTGCTTCCAGTAAACCAAAATATTAAGCCTAAGGACATAAATTCATATACTTTAAAATATTATTGTGTATAAGAAACAAGGGGAATGAAGAGGTGAGAAATTATTGATTTCCATTTTTAACAACAACAATACAAACAAAAAGTTTAACCAGACAATGAGACAATAACAGCTTTTGAATCAATTAGGAATAATTCCTAACGTTTACAATGTTTGATCCTTGAGGTCACACTGTTCAGTTTTTCAATAAAAACAACCATTTATTAAAAAAAGAGAAAGCAATTTACATTTTGAAAATTTCAACACAACTTGCCTTTGGCAAAATAAATGAAGAAATAAACTGAAGAAATAAAACAGAATTTCTTTCTTACATATCCACTTTGAGAAAAACAGCAATAACCGGGCTGTATCTCAAAGGTTTACTGGGCTATTGGGCAGAGGCATCTTGTTGTTGTTGTTGTTGTTATGTGCCGTCGAGTCAGCCCTGACTCATAGCGACCCCTCCTTGGGTTTCCAAGGCAGTATCACTACGGAAGTAGGATTGCCCAACCTTCCTTCCGAGGAGTGGCTGGTGGGTTTGAACCGTCAGCCTTCTGGTTAGCAGTCAAGTGCCTTAGCCACTATGCTACCAGAGCTCCCTTAGTCTACTGTAATAAATTGGAATCATGCATTCATTATATAGATTAATCTATAATCTAATTGCCAGATCATTCCTTAGATGCCAGTGTCTCATGTGTTCTATGGATCCTGTACTTCACTCTCTTCATGCAAATAGCTGTAATACTTTCAACTAGCTCAGAATATACTGTGTTGGCAAAATTTACCATGCATTTTTTGCTTGTGATCATTAGCCATTAGAGAGATACAAATTAAAACAACAATAAGATATCATCTCACCCCAGCAATAATAGCAAAGCTGAACAAGACAGAAAATAACAGATGACAGAGTTTAGAGAGGCTGGAACTCTCTCATACTGCTGGTGGGACTATAAATGGTACAACCACTTTAGAAAATGGTATAGTACTTCCTCAAAAAGTTGGAAAGAGAAATAACTTTTGCTCTAGCAATCCCACTACTAGGAATATATCCTAAAGAAGTGTTATCCAGGATACAGCCAGATACATGCACACCCACATTCATCACAGCACTATTCACAATAGCATAGACAGAGAAACAGCCTAAGTCCCCATCAACGGATAAACGGATAACCAAACTATAGTATAAACACACAGTGGAATACCACGCAACATAAGGATTGATGATGCATCTGTGAAACACCTCATAATGTGGATGAACTTAGAGGGCATTACGCTGAGTAACAGAAGTCAATTTGTATGAGTTCATTATTATAAAAAGTTAAGGAAAGGTTTACATAGGGAAGGACACTTCCTTTGTTAGTTACCAGGGATGGGAGGGGTGGGAGGGAAAATTGCTAGCTAGTTAAGATACATGTATTGATTTGTGTGAAGGGAAAGGCAATATAATAAATGCATGAGATCAGCAAATGTCACTAGGAAAAGGAAGACACAGAGAGGTGCACAAGAGGTACAGACAACAAACATAAATACTATTACATATGCAATACTGCATTATCAGTAATAGCAAACATTAATCTATTGGTGGATACACAGGTGCACAGGCAACATGATCAGGTATGGGTAGGTGAATGGGAACATACCCATGACAATATATAGGTTTTATACTGATGATATTTGTACATACATATTTGCATGTGCTATAAAAAAAAAAAAAAGTCCATATATATAATTGAGCTAATAGAGGGCAAAGTTCAGATAACTTTTTAGCCACATCCAAGCAGTATGTGCTTGAGGGAGTGACTTGCTGAGCCTGGAGGCTTGGAACCATGGTTGCAGCAGACATTAAGCTCAATTGGCACAACATAGTACACAAAAACGTTGTTCTACCACCTACTTTGGTGAGCACTGACTGGGGTCTTAGAAGACTGCGAGCAGCCGTCTAAGATGCATCAATTGATCTCTGTTCGTCCGGAGCAAAGAAAACTGAAGAAAATCAAAGGAGCATGGAAACAGTTAGTCCAAGGGACTAGAGTACAATGGGAATCTCAGCCTCCATGACCCTGAGACCAGAAGAACTAGATGATGCCTGGCTACCACTGTCAACCACTTAGAAAGGGATTAGAATTGTAGACCTGGATACAATGGGAGAAAAATCAAACAGAATTAAAAAACACAAAACAGACCAGGATTACTGGTTGGATAGAGACTGGTGAAACCCCCGAGACTATGGTCCCTAGTTACCCTTCAGGCCTGGAATTGAACTCACTCCTGTGGCTCTCTCTGCCAAACAACTGACAGGCCAAGGAATGAACAATTATACTAGGGAGATGCACTCCTTAGAACAATCAATGATGGGAGATCAGAAGGGCAGCATTTGTACAGGGCAAAAGCTTGGGAGGCAGGCATGCATAGGAAATAAGGCCACAAGGAAAAAGTAACCATGGGGAGGATATGGGAAGAAAGCTGTTGTATCATGGGAATTAAAATCAGTTTCACAAAACAAAACATTTATGAACTGGTAAACGGAAAACGAATCTGCTCCATAAAATGTCACCCAAATCACAATAAAAAGTTAAAAAAAAATACCATGCATTTTTGTTTTATTTCCTTTGAAAATTTTTAGGTATTGCCTAAAAGAGTGTAGGACGATTCCTTGATACAGAAACAGTACCTACTTTGTTTAGAGATAGGCAGAACTGGGATTGAGTCCCAGCTCTAGCACTTACTGCTGTATGAATGGGAACATGCTTATCAACTTTTATGAACGCTAGTTGCTTCATTTATAAAATGGGGGGAATGATACATGTTAAACATTTGCAGAAAGATTAAGACAAAACCACATAAAACATTGAAGAGCACCTAACAATAGAAAAGCTTAAATAAATGCTAGTTTCCTTCTGCCTATGTGCCTGTCCACTGCTATACGAATGAGAACAGAAGAAAGGATAAAAGAAACCAATCATGAGATCTAACTAGATGAAAGAGACAACAGATACTCTCACACTTACTAGTTATGTTATTGGGAAAGGTTTTAATCTCTCTATGCCTCAGATTCCTGATCTATAAAATAAGGGTGAAACAGTACCTCCATGAAATTGTTTA